CACACACACACACACACACACACACACACACACACACACACACACACGACCAAGAACACTGAGAGGCTACACGGCAGATCCACATTCTCTGCATCATAGTTGTTGGGCTGTTAGCCTACAAGTTGTCTAATTTCCTATTACACATAACACAAGTAAAAAGGTTGCACGTGACGCAACATAATTCAAGGACGTTTTTGTGTCACGAGGAAAATTAGGAGAGATAGACATAAATGAAACTGCTACAAACACATATTTAGTCCCAATTATGAAACAACACATTCATTAAGAGATCTCCACGTCGGCGTCTCTAAAACAATATAAACTGGCTTATGGTTTGGCTTCTAGTCTCACGGGCAGAAGAGGCGGCAGGATTTTTAAATTAAGAACAAACAAAGACACTGTGAACACTCACAGGTGAGTTAACTCTCTGCTTGTTAACGGCTGAAGAACAAGATATAAACAAACTAACTTCTTTCACTGAACATGACTTGGTTGCGTCCCGTTTTCCACAAAGTTTGCACAGTCAGCATCAAACAGACTGGTGAGGTTTATGGAGAAGCAGCACCCCCCGCTGGTTACATTAGGGAACAACATCGGCCTTCAAACCCTCCATGTCCTGCAGAAACCTGACTGTTTTAATGAATCTTGAGAGGCGACATCTTCTCCCACGAGTACATAATATATGCCGTCTCTAGTAATATGACAAAATAACCAAATAAAATCTGCAAAATCTCCAGACAGCATGACAGGAAAAAAAATGTTTTGGTGACAAATGGTTTCTCCAAGACAACAACAATAAGATGGCTAAGTAAATAATTGTCTGTAGAACATTATCATTAGTTAATCCATTTAGCTACGTTAACCAATTCTGTTTTCAACAATTTAAAGAGGAATGAATGAGAGATGTGACATAAAGCCCATCAAACCGTTAAAATAAGATTCAGCTTCTTCTATAAATTCAAATTGAATATCCTCGCAGACAATTAAAGAGTGAAAATGATAAATGTGCTGGATAAAACCTTTAGACTTCACCTCATGTAAAATTGTGATATTATGGCCTCATGTATTTCGGCACTCATTTGTCAGTGTTTACAGATTTCTGAAAAACAACTTCCCATCTTCTAATAATGCAATCAACTCGTCACAATCTGCAAGCTGAAATGTCAGTGTTCGGGGTGCTGATGGCTAACAGGTAAATGTTGTACCACGGCGAAACATGCACGCTTAGCTCCACCGGGACCGGTTTGGTTGGTTTGCTCCATATTCCCTTTATCCTAAACCATAAATATGTGCAGAGACACTGAGACAATGATTGCCACCATGTAAACAACAGCGGCCCAAACATCATCACAAAAGTATAAAATATGAGAATTGCAAGATGACCTCGCTATTGCCCGACATGAGCCCGGGCTAACTCCTCTAGGGTCACCACTTCCTGTCCACCTCCATCACTTAAGCTCCCCAGATGTGTGCTGACGTTACCCTCGAGTGCTCTCTAACAATCCCCATAAAGTTTCCTCAAATGTGACCGTTAGTGGGGGAAAAACCCCTGAGACAAGGCTCTCGTTTCCCACAAAAATCCCTCTTTTCATTTTGCTTTAAATTTGAAAATCTCCTCTTCTGAGGAGTATCAAACTCACTGACTTGATTTATGTTTTCCAGGAAACAGAAAGACAAAACAAGCTCTGAAACTAGCTTGAAAGCTGCAGGTCAGAAGTGACGGTGCAACATAAAGGAATCAGCTGCTTCAGTCATATCTCCAATTCTGTGTGGCCAGAAAATATGATCTCATCCTGCATCTTCTCGCTAGGTTTCAATGCTGAGGAACATGTAGTGTCACTTGAAGGACTGAAATAATTCTCTTTAAATAAGGCCACTTCTGCGACGACGACAACAACACACATACAGTACATCTGAAAAAGATGGTGGTTCTAAGTGTTTTGTTTGAAAGTACAAATGGAGTGCAATTTCTCTCAGAAGGCACAGTCTGGCATCAATTGGCACGTTCCAGCTCAGTTCAGTTCAGTTGCGATTTGGCCTCTTGGGACCCGGTGTGGTACCAGGCCAGTTTGGACCAGTCAGAGACCAGCTTCAAAGAGTTTATTTCTGCTGCTGCTGCTGCTTGAGGCTCTCCAGCAGGACTCGCTTGTGAGCGGGGTCGAGCACTCCCGCCTCTTCCAGGTCCTCCTCAGTGATATCACTGAAAAAAAACAATTATTATTATTTGACAATCATGATGAAAGAATAACAGTAGAGATTAGAGTAGAGAGGTCTACAGCAACAGTGTATGTACCTGAGGAACTCCAGGTCGTCCCAGCCGTTGTGTAGAAGGCCCTGCTCATATCTCTCCAGTCCCAGTCTCTGCAGCCACTCCCCCACCGACGACTCCCCGACAGACAAAGAAGAACTACTGCTGCCCCAAAATGCCTGTGAAAGGGAAATCAAACACAGGATCAGCTTAAAAACTGCTGTATGAACATTGCAGCTCGTCTAAAAACCAAATACCCAAACAACCCATACACGTCACAATGTAATGCCATTTCTACCTTTGAATGAGGCACTGAGTGTTCATTTTAATGGACTGCTCACCTCCTCAGGCATGTCCTCTGCAATACTCTCTGTGATGGCATTTCTGGGGGGGAAGGTGCGGCAGGCGTCCAGACCTAGACCCATTGGCTGCCCTCTAAGAGGCGGCGGCGCAGATGGAGCGCGTGGAGGCTGCCCAGGAAACTCACTCTCACTCAGCGTCTTTGCCATCTGGAGCACAGAACACGACTGGTCGTCCAACGCCCCTGGTCCTCCCCCTCCTCCTCGTCTAAAACCCTCTCCGAGGGCCGGTGGGGCAGCAGCACTGGCTGCTGGGATCCTGACCTCGGTCAGGTCTGGGTAAAGAGTGCGAGGTTTGGAGAAGGGGGCTTCTGCGACCATCTCCAGGGCTCCCTTCGGGAGAGGAGGAGGGGGGAAGTCGGGAGGAGGTCGATTCAGCGTGCTTCCAACTGTCGTTCCAACACCACCCCCCTGCGCTCCTGCCACACAGGCGCCTCCGTCGTCCTCCGAGGAGCCCTCCTCGCTAATAGCGCGGACCGGGTGCCCCATCATGGGTCTGCGTGGGTGAGAGGGCACCGAGGCCACAAAGGGCGGTTTGGTTCGAGCTCCAGCTGAAGGAGGAGGGGCTTTAGCTACCTGGGGGTTTGGGGAGGTAGGAGACGGAAGAAGCTCAGGCGAAAGTGCAGCTGCCGACTGGTTGGGAACGCCCTCCAGGATGTAGTAGGCGGGATTATTGTAGCTGTTCTTGCAGATGGACGGATCGCCGTCTGGTGCGTCCTGCTTAGGCCTTAAAAATATACAGAAAAAAACAGAACAGGTGGTTGATTTCCACATTAAAAATGTGTCTAAGCGGTTGCATCTTTTGAGTGGTTATCTTGAATATGTGTGTAACCTATATGAATGGGGCAGTACCTTGCAGCAGTTTCCTCCTTGCTGGTCCGTTCTCCCTCCTCGCTCACTTTTCCCAGCTCTCCAAGCTGTTTACGAACTACAGATGGCCTGCACAGAGACAACATCACAACAGGTCAGCTGGTGTGACAAAACAGAGGATTGAGAAATGTGTTTTTGTGAACATCCCTGGTGAAAGGTGCAAGATATCAGATTCAAAAAAATGTAACATTGTAACCACACTGGGTCTTCGTCAGGCAAATGGCAAACATAATCAATGATTTGTTTTTCATTACAACATTGTGATTATTTCTTAAATGCAACATGATGGTATTATTTCTGCTGTATTAAACTGTATAAAGGTTTAACTTAATACAACCAAAAATACTTTTGTAAAGGGTACTCCAGAAAAACATAATCTCTACATTGGTCCACAATTTATTAATTTTTTCATTTTATGTTGGATCACGCAGATATCCACAATAATGCAAATTTATAGAGCTGTACAATGTGGTGTATAGAATAATGTCCTCTGAAGGATGCGTGTACATTTTATGAAAATATTCTGCTCTTTGCATTTTAATACAGAAGTAGAGTGTACTGACTTGATGTATTCATGTCCCACTCTGGATACCAAAGTGCATTTCCCTTTAGGTCCACCCGTCTCATCTTTGTCCACACTGATCCACTCTGAAATACAACCATACAAATTAACTTTAAGTTAACTTAAACATCAGTCAAACGTCATCCTGTATCATTTGGTCAAATCGCGCCTGCAAAATTCTTGAAGCTTAAAAGACTTTTCATTTGTCTCAAGTGCTTCATTTACATATTTCCTCTTCTCTGGAGAGGTTCACTGATTCCTGTTAATTGGCTGTGTTTACCGTAGAGTCTCTCCCTGGTTCCCATTCTTTCTGAAGGGACTCTGACCCTCATGGACCCCCTGATATTTCCTGTTTCCTCGCCCCGGTGGGACAGGTAGGTGTGGAACTGCTGTGCTGTGCTGCCAATCATAGACTTCAGAGCCAACACACACTCTCCTAGCAGGGAAACACACACACACACATGTTTTTTTGTCAGACTGAAAGTCCACTTTAAAGAATTGTACGACCTCATCGCAAACAGTCTCTTCATACCGTAGGACTCGTATCCATCCAGTGACTTCACGGTCAGCAGCAGATGTTGGTCCTGCAGGTACTCGATCTCCGAGAGAAGAGGTTTGAGCGTCGTCAGCTGCTTGTTGGACCAGCCCACGCGCAGGAAGTTGACGTTGTCGCTGCTCTGACTGTCGTTCTCGTAACTCTTCTTAAACTCTACAGATGAGAGACAGACAGAGAAATGCAGGACGGGGCGGATGGGGGGGTGGGAGAGAGGACAAAGGGAACAAGGTTGGAAGGAGAGAAGGAAGATGTTTCTATTGCCTTTCATTCAAAAGTACATGGCGGACAGGAGGTGGGGATGCGGCACAGGTCAAAAATGGATTCAAGCTTAGAAGGTATACTGACTGCCTGAGAAAGGGAGGGAGGGAGAGAGATACGAAAAGAAGAAACAGATGGAATTTTTATTCATCCATTAGGCGTTACAGAAACCCCGTCTGTACTGTAACTCCTTGGTGGATTTCGGTCACGTGCCGACGTGTTCTTCTCACCTTCCAGACAAGTGGAGTAGAATTCTATGAAAAACTTGGTTCTGCTCGCCGTCTTCACGATGGCCTCAATGCTCTCGAACTCAATGTAGGCCTGCTCTGAAGACTTTGGCAGACCTACAGAGAAACAGGAGGGACGGGGGGGGGGGGGGGGGGGGGGGGGGGGGGGGG